GTGTGTGTGTGTGTGTGTGTGTGTGTGTGTGTGTGTGTGTGTGTGTGTGTGTGTGTGTGTTAAGTTCAGAATAAGAAACAAATTAAAACCAAAAAACAAGGAAGGTTCTAGGGGAACCTGAAGCCTCAAGGCCACATGTGGCCTTCTAGGTCCTCAAGTGTGGCCTTTTGAATCCAAACTTCACAGAACAATAAAAGTATCTGTTCTGTGAAGTTTGGATTCAGGCAAAGGGCCACACTTGAGGACCCAAAGGGCCACAAGTGGCCTTGAGGCTCCATCCCTGTTCTAAAGAGTTGGGAGACTATCAGAGCAAAATGTTCTATAAACTGTCAATTTTGGAAGAGAATAGCGGGAGGGTTTTGTTCATTTTTCAAAAATGAATATTTTTTGACAAGACACCAATATAACTTTTTTTAAAGAAAGGAAAAAAGAAAAGGAAAATCTGAGAGATAGGTTCTAAATAATACTACAATTTAGACAGATTCAGAACTAGTGGAATGGCTGAACCCAAAGAGTAGGCATTAATGGCTCAATGTGCACATGGACCTCCACAAGCTCCTACTTTGGCACTTCACCATGGTATGTTGGTAACTATCAGTTCTCAAAAGCTATGCCAGTGGAGAATAAGCTCTGGCAGATGCTATTTATCATGTTAAAGAAAGATTTCAGGTATGTCCTTGACAATATAATCACTCAGAGGATCAAAGAATGTGAATTGGAAAGAACCCAGGACATCTTCCTTTCTTCCTCAACAAGTTCACTGCCTGTCTTACAGTCTTTCTCTCATTCCAATGTCTGTCCGCAAATTAGAGAACTTCAAACATACATTACTGATTCTGTGTAATGGTTGAGAGCTGGGCCTGAAGTCAAGAAGACTACCTGGCAGATAGTAAGTGCTTGTTTCTTTCCTTCTTTATTATAATAGCTAGAGGCAAGTGGCATAGTGAATAGTGGTGGGCCTTGAATCAGGAAGATCTGACTTCAAATCTGCCTTGAGACACTTACTAACTGTGTGACTGGGCAAGTCCCTTAATCTCTGTTTGTTTCAGTTTCCTCAACTGTAGAATAGGGAATAACAGCAGCACCTACCATGCAAGGTTGGGCAGTTAGGTGGCACAGTAGATAAAGCACTGGGCCTGGGGTCAGAAAGACCTGAGTTCAAATGAGGCTTCAGACATTTAGTAGCTGTGTGACCCTGGGCAAGTCACTTAACCCTGTTTGCCTTACTTCCTCATCAGTAAAATGAGCTGGTGAAGAAAATGGTAAACCAATCCAGTCTCTTGAGCCAACAAAATTCCAAATGGAGTCACAAAGAGCCAGAAACAACTTGAACAACTGAACAATACCATGCAAGGTTACTGTGAAGATCAAATGAAGTATTTTTTAAAAGTGTTTAACATAATGCCTGGCACACAGTAGGTACTAAATAAATGCTTATTTCCTTCATCTTCTCCTTCCCTCCAATACTCTAACTTCCTAGAACTTCAATCCCCTCAATCCCTATAACCTACTCCTCCACTCTACCTCAACTACACAGAGATGGTCGTATCGTTGATCTTGTGATCACTCAAGTGTTCCAATTTCCCTCTTCATGTACTCAGCAAATCCTCTCTTACCATAATCTTCTATCATTTCATCTCTCCCTGTTTTTACAACCCCTAACTATTCTTCATCCTCCCCATGACCCCCATTCTTTGACCCTTCAATTTTTCTCTAGGCTATTCCCCTAAAGTCTTCTCTCCTCCTCAATCCTTTGGTGAACCAAATGAGTTCTATACCAAAAGTGTCAAACTCGAACAAGATTAAAATGTAACTGGGAAATGTTTAACAAAATAAACAAAAACACAACATGGCATTTGTTGTTGTCTTTTAGTAGTATGTGTCTGACTCTTCCTGACCCAATTTTAGGAGTTTTGGGAAAGACAATGGAGTATTTGCCATTTCCTTCTCCAGCTCATTTTACAGGTGAGGAACTGAGGCAAACAGGGTTAAGTGACTTGCCCAGGATCTCATAGCTACTGAGTATCTTGAGGCCACATTTGAACTCAGGAAAATGAGTCTTTTTGACCATAGGTGCAGCAACAGGGTACTCTATCCACTGTGCCACCTCGCTGCCTTAGAATACAACACAGATAATGTTAATTTGTGTTTCTTTAAGTCAATATCCACCTCCACCCCATCAATTTTTCAGTCTGTTCTACACTATCTTCTACTTTTGACTCCCTTGCCTCCTTGTACTCCTGCCAATCCCAGCTTGTCAAACTTCAAGGCTGGATTACTAACCCCCTACAGCCCCCACTCCCAGCCTACTGCTGAACAGGACAGGAGGAAATCACAAAACCATGCTGACCTAACTTGACATAATTAGATTCACTACAAATTTACGCTATCTAATTCCAAAAATTTTATGCTATTTAATCTCAAAAAATAGCAAGAAAATCATCCTACTCCTCCATAATCAATACCGACTTACTCTCCTTGGCAACTGACCTAAACTTCAACTCAAGTCTACATGGTATCCCCATCATCCACTCTCTCAACTGAAGACCTTAACCCCCAGACTTCACTGAAAAAATTGAAGTCATCTGCTGACTGAATCCTCCAATAGAATGTGGGACCCAGAACTAAACATGCTGGTCCTTATAAGTTTGATGTAATAAGAGTACAGGTGAATTATCATTTCCCCTATTACTGGACACCATGTCCTTCAACTTACCCCAAGATCACATTTGCTTTATTTGCTGTCTTATTACACTGCTGATTCATAATCAGTTTGCAGTCCCCTAAAACCTTAAGATCTTTTACAGAACTGCTATCTGTCCACAACACCCCCATTTCATACTTGTGAAAAGTTTTTTACTTAAGCACAATACTTCACAATTAGTCTTGCTGAATTTCATCTTATTAGACCCAGCCCAATGCTCTAGCTTTCTAAGATTCTTTTGAATCCATTCTCCATCTATTCTGTTAGCTATCTCCCAGTTTTGTGACCCCTGTAAATCCAATTATTATCCCATCTACATCTTTACAGAAATCATTAGTAAAAATGTTAAAGAGCACAAGGCCAGCCACAGATAACTAGAGTGCTCTGATGGAGATCTCCTGCCATGTTGACCCTGAATTAACAACTACTCTGAGTTTGTCTATCCAACCAGTTCTGAATCTATTACATTTTACATTCCTTGAAGCCAAATTTCTCTACCTTCTCCTTAAAAATATTATGAGATACTTAACCAAAAAAACTGCTAAAATCTAGGTAAACTGTATCCCATCATCTTCCAGTTTAGTCCTGTCAAAAAGGAAATGAAGTTGGACAAATATGATGTTATCAATGAAACCAAGACGGTACTTTGTAATCACGATTTCTCTTTCTAGCTGTTCCAATACAGTATCTCTTTAGCACTAGGATTTTCCCTGGAATTGAAGTCAAGTTCACTGACCTATGTTTTACAGATTATGTTTTCTTTCCCATACAAAAAATCAAGACATCTGCCCCTTTTCAGTCTTGTAGTACCTCTCCCATTTCCCAAGATCTTTCAAATATCACAGATATTTGGGTAAGGGAGACTTTTTTATGGATGACACAGTGGTAACTGGGTAGATAGTGTTACCAGTAAAGTAACAGGAAGTTCTGAAGGGGGAGGATTTTTTTGGACATGTTGAGTTTGAGATGTCTATATGACTTCTAATACAAGAAATTCAAGAGGCAGTCAAAGATGCATGACTGTAGCTTATCAGAGAGAAACTAGGCCTCAATATATAGACCTGGGAATCAGCTACAGATGATAACTGAAACCATGGGCACTGATGAGATCCATATAGAGGAAAAAGAAAAAAGGGCCCACAATAGAACTTTGAGAGATGCCCATGTTTAATGGGTAACATGACTAAAGAAACAGTCCACATGTGTTAAAGATATCCTTCACCCTAACCATCCTCTCTAACCTCCATCCCTACCCAAACTTGATGTCTATTGTTAACTGGTCTATTATACTTGGGCTTTAAGGTTTACAACAACTCTGTGAGGTGGATAGATAAGGAACTCTAAGGACTTAAAAGTTCTAAATCTATGAATCTACGAAGTATTATTATCCTCATTTCACAGAAGGTAACCGGAGCTAAGAGCAAATGGTCACACAGATACTAAATGCTAAAGCTGGGAAACTATCACATATTCAGAATGGAACCTAAATTAATAAGGATTTTTATTTTAAAAAAAGTAGAATTTTAAAGCAAAATTAGGAAGTTGGTGATGTGTGTCTTTGGGAATCTCTGCCAGCTCTTTATTCAGTAACTCCTCTTATATGGCTCCCTTGATTTTTAAAAATCTCTCTCTCCCTACTTTCCCCTATATCACAAGTCACTTATTGTGCATTACCATCACAATTTTAAAAATGCTCTAATCAACTCATTCATGCTAAAGTATTAATATCTGATAGTGCTTAATATCATATCCCTCTCTACAAGGAGTAACACTGCCATTTTAACAGGTAATGTCAAACACTGATGATAGGCTGATGGATATTTGTGCATGTGTGTGTGTGTGCATGTGTGGACACGCACACATGCATGCAGATGTTCTGCAAACTACATAGATAACAGTATACTTCAATTATGTGTAAAGCTGGCCCTAGTTCAGGGCCTATTATTCAATAATTAGTTCATTATTTAGTTGTCTGATTTTTCAATACATACAGTTTCAAACAATGAATTTATAAAATTCTGAGCTCACAGTTACTCTTCATCAAAACCATAGAAAGATGCAATGCTCACTTTGAAAAGTAGTAACTCAGTTACCTGTCTGTTACTTCGGGGGAGCCTTGCTAATCGTACGCCTGACATATCAAATAATCTAACTTGTCGGTTATCATGTGGAAGGGCAATGATTCTTTGACCAACACATACGTTAATCCTGCAGAGAAGAGAAAAAAGTAGTTTATGTACAGAACCTGCCAAATAGGACTTTACAGAACAATTTTTTTATTCCACTAAAATGAGTATTAACTACTTTTTATGTTTTACTGAAAAATATGGTATTAGAGATATTATCTGAAGCAAGGGACAAAATTACTTATCTCCAGGCTCCACTATATGCAGCTGTTACTCAAAAATAGACAAAGTCTACCCCACTGCATTAAAAATTATTTATAATTTCTACCCATTGTTAAGTATATAATACAGACAGAACCTAACTTTTGGGTTTGTTTTTTTTAAACCATACCAACCCAGGCTGATTTAATTTTTCACAAGTAAATGTCTACTGAGGGTCAATGATAAAATATCTAAATTATCTTCCAAAAAGATTAATTTACAAAGTTCTAAGTTAGATGCTTTGGGAAACTATATTCAACACTTTTCAGAGCATTAGGGGCCTAATTTTATATACCTTTATATAACAAATAGTTTAATTTTACCTGTTTATAGCAGAGTCTGTTCGGATAGTTGCAATTGGGGATCTCATATTTTTCAAATCCCATACTTTTACAGTACGATCATCACTGCCTGAAACAACATTGTCCCCCACAGTAAACACAGCAGAGGTCACAGTGCTAAAAATAAAAGATAAAAATATCAATTTAAAAAATTCAATTCAGGTTGATTTGTTTTAATATTTTCATAGACAACATCACATAATGTCCCATATAAAATACAACAATAACTTTTGTAAATTTCTAAGAGGGCTGTCGTTGATGTATTGATTCATATTATGTAAAGGTAAGTGATACTGTGTCTTCTGCTCTATTAAGCATCTTCTCATACTTTGAAAATTCTCTAACAAGTAAAACTCAAATTTGGTAAATCCCATTCCCTTCTCTTTCATCAAACAAAAAAAAAGTCCACTCTATTAGCATTCTAACTTCTTTCATTCTAACAAAACAAAAACAACAACAACAAAAAATGGAAGAGGAACTGGTGGAAAAAAATATAGGCTGAAACCTGCATGAATTCCTATATTTTTGAGTGAGAGATTCAAGAAAATGATATACGTGTACATGGTTTATGACAATTTCATAAATTATTTCAAATGTAACTTTTAATCAAATCAATCAGAAATATACTTATATACATGAGCAATCAGAATAATGTATTACCTCAGAGTCTTACTATACATTTAGACCGAACAATATAACAGAAAGAAATCATTGAACTTTTCTGCCACCAAGTACCTCAAAGAACCATTAAAAAAAAATTAAACTGTCAGAACAGAAGGAAGGGGTGGCTCCCAGAGAGCCAAGAAGAACCCAAAGGAAAAGCCAAGAAATGTGTAGGCAGGGATTTAGAAAACCTGGATTATTTTAAAGAATGGCAGAAACAGGAAAATGGGGATTGGGGAGGGGGGTTAATATCTTTTAGCCTTATGCATCTTCTACAATTTATTACTGCATTGGTCTGAATATAGTTCACCAAAAAAAAAAATGGCATATCTGAGATTTCTCTGAAAGAAAAAAAAATGAACATCCTCTTAAAATAATTATACAAAATTAATGCATTGAAAAAATCTTTTCCATAAGGTTTTTTTTTCTTTTTACCATTTCTTTCAATTCCAATACAGAGGTCTGATTAATTTTTTTTATCACTGCCCTCTTCACCTTTGTCATTTTTGTTGCCTTTCTTACTAAGATTACAATCATAGGCCCCACTAAGGTTTTTTACAAGGCAAATTTTGAGAAGAATATGGCCTGTATCTGGATCAGCATGACTCTCCTTTCAACCTAAATACAGTGTCATGTGTGTGTGTGTGTGTGTATACATATGTATGTATGTACATATATGTGTGTATACAGTATGGTATATAGTACTAATTCTTAACGACTAAAATTTCAAGGAATACAAATTTTAAATACTATTCAAAAATTACTCTGGTCTCCAATGCCAAATCTAGATGTAAATGAAATAAGATATTCAAAGTTACATTCAATAGCTTCATTATTTTCCAACATCTTTGATTCTTTATAATGTTATTAATTCTTCAAACAAAATAGGAGTGTTTTTCCACAGGAAAAACCATACCCAATGCCTTTCAGGTGTAGGAAATCAGTTTTCCCCTAGTTGAAAATAAGAAACAGAAAAGGATTTCATGAAGCACTGTGCTTCAAACTCCATGACAGAAATCTTACTTCTTCATATAATAAGTTCTGACTGTGCTTATTACCTCCACTTCTCTTTCTCCCTTTCTTTTATCTAAAAGAATGTTATTTTAAAAATAAAATAAAACCCAGATTCAGACCTTGAAGGGCTTAAGCAAACAGTGGGGTTTCAATTTTTATAAGACATGAGGTACTAGCCAAGCTTTATGACCCCTGGAAGCCGTAACACATTAAAAGTTTTTCAAAGTGACTACTGAAGTTAATATCTATCTATCTATATCTATATCTATCTATCTATCTATCTATCTATCTATCTATCTATCTATCTATATATATATACACACACACACATATATGTCTGTGTGTGTGTATGTGTGTGTATGTATGCCTGTATGTATTTATTTTCCCCCAAAGTCTAAGGTATTCTATAGGTTTAAAGTCACAGTCGGATGAATTCACAGCACACAAATATATTGCTACCACCTCATCAGCCTCAGTCACATGGGCTATCAACCTGGTACCCTACTTTAAAAGAGTACTGACCACTGTTTGGATAATATATGAATCACTTCTCATGATTGCATATATGAGCTCATAAATCAAAAGCTTGACTAATTTCCAACTATTAGATTTACCGGCATATTCTCTAGTTGGGGTCATGCACATCAATTTCTTAGAATTTAGTAATTCTAATTTTAAATGTCAGTTGTTCCTGTCACTTCGGCTGTATTACAAGAATTTGATTTCATGTTCTATTCAGACTACTGATTAAGATTAGCACTATCCATGTCACAATGGCCCAGTTTACGAAAGCCTTCTTAATTTAAATTGACGTCAAATTAAGCTCTAATTAGGACTAAACTCTATTAAATTGATAATACAAAGTTTCTCAGTGTAATACCAAAGTGCAGCAAATGGAAAATTTGACATGACGCCTGAATCAAAGAGCTTCACCAAAACTTTCTGATCATCTTCTCCATACACAACTACTACACACAGTGTAAGAGGTTTAGTATATAACTGAGCAGTGTCTTTGTCTATTTTTTTTAAAACAGGGCACATTTTCTATTTTCCAAGTATGCAGCCTTTTAAACATATCTAAATGAATACAAATAAAATTCCTAAAACAGACCATTTCATGTCATTTCTCCCAAGTTAAAAGGTAAGCTTCTTGTGGGCCAGAACTAGATCATACACACACTTTTCTGGTATACCTGTAGCACCCAGCAGAGTACCTGACACAGTAGGTGTTCAGAAATTCTTGATTAATTGATGGACAAAAGCAAACTATGATAACAGATATCTTTAGGTTAAGATAATAGGAAAAGTGGTTGGCCATATAATACCACTACCACATAATACACTAAATAATAATACATAATACATAAATAAAGTTTAGTAAGATATCACAAAGCATTCCTTAACTTTAAATTTATCAAGCACCTTAAGAATTTACCAACAGAAGGAGAGGGCATAAAGGGAGGAAACCTTGTCTAAACAAATGACATACATTCTGAATCCAAGTCTGGTTGAATTCTGATCCAGATGCCTTTGGATTTACTGGAAATCAACTATACCTCCTTCACTATCAGAAAGTCTTATTTTATCCTGAAATCCATCAAAACTACAAGAGTAACTGAAAATTGCTATTAGCCCACAGCGAATGGCAACATGCAACATTCATCCCAGGCGAACAGCATCCAAAAATGCCTTAGTCATCTGCAGGGATACTTAGTAGAGGTTAACTGAAGTTTTCTGGTACTCAATAGGAACCAAATGAAATTTGCCAACAATATCTAGTTATTAAATCTCACCAGAGACCTAAGATCTTTATAAAAGCTCATAAAATACTCACAAAAAAGGTATCTACGGTCCTGGTATAGTTCCATTACATTTTTTTTTTAAAAGGAAAGCAACATTAAAAATCTCAACTCTGACAGAACCAAAAATGATGGGATTCCTGCCCTTAGAAACACAGGAAGAATCCATTCCCTATGAAACTCCAGCAGTCTACGCCGTATCTTAAGGTGAAAAGGTTGATACTCACACTTAGATTCTTGATATTCTCACTTACAATCGACAGTTATCTATCCGTAGATTTCCTTGGAATCTCCTAAGGAAACCTAGGCTCCTTGGCTTTAGAGAAAGCAAAGGGAAGCCAGATTCCCTCAAGCAATATTTTCCGTTAGCATTATGTCCAGAGTCCCAGTCTGGAGGAAAAAGGGGCAAGAAAAAGGAAGTGAGTGGGAAAAATTAAGCTTGTACTATGGCATTAACAGAAAGAGTACTAGTCTTCTTCAAAACGGGGTTGGATTTCAAACTCCGATGCTTGTCAGCTGTCTTGAACATGTCTCTGGACTCCTCTGTGCCTCAGTCTCAGCTGCAAAATGAAGAAGACGTGATCCTTGGAGCACAATTTTAGAGCCGAAAATGACCTCAGACACTACCGAGTCAAACTCCCTTCTCTGACTTATGGGGAAAACGACGTCCGGGGAAGCTCAGTGACATGGCCAAAGTCCAACCAGGTAGGAAAGCCCAGATGCAAACATAAGTCCTCTGATTCCAGATCCAAAGATCTTTCCAATATTCTATATTACCACCCATGTATTATGAAGAAAGTATTTTATAATTCATCTTAAATAAAAATGAGTTATAATGTATGACCTATAATGATTTGTAACTGTTCCTCAACAACAGCAAAAAAATCTAAGCTACACCTTTGCAAAGTAGAAGAAAATTTTCTCAGAGAAGGATCACTGTCTCTCTCTTCCTTTTTTTTTTTTTTGACAAGAACTGATTTCATTAGTAGAGGCATCTCCCTTTAAGAAGTTCCTTCTAACAGTACAGATCAGCAACTCTTTTGCAATTTTCAGTTAATGTATAACTCTATGATGATAAAATTCTGGAAGCCACTGACCTGGATGAGAGGAAAGAGAGTCCTTGATACAGCAAGGAGGAAAGCAGTTAGCTGAGTTATCATGACCAAAACTGAGCTTAGGCCCTGGTTGTCACCACTGATCTACAATAATATGAGCACTAACAGCATCCCTCCAAAAAGAAAAATATGCTTGGTGGGGAAATCAGGTGAGCAATACCAGATTTGAAACCAAAAAATGTCAATCATTCTTGACCTTGCATGGAAGAGAAGGCTCAACGAAATGAGAAAATAAGAAACTTCCTCACACTATAGGCCCTGGACTAAGAGATGACTAACAAGCAAATCCTAAAAGGTCTCCACAATCTGAATGCAGATGGAAGTATATCTTTTCACTTATTTTATTTTTTTCTCATGTTTTTTCCTTTTGATCTGTTTATTCTCCCACAACTCTGACAAATATGGAAATATGTTTTACATGATAGCACATGTATAAACTATATCAAACTGCCTATCATTTCCAAAGAGCGGGAGGAGAGGAAGGGAGGGAGAAAAATTTGGAACTCGAAATCTTGTAAAAATGAAT